GCTTCTGCGGGCACGAATCCACGCCTCCGACTCCGAGATGGTCTCCCGGGTCAAGACTGCACGGGCCAGGATGCCCATTGCCGCGGCCCGGTGCCGGCCCGCCATGCAGTGCACGAGAGCCTGTTCACCAGCCGCCAACGTCTGCTGCAGCACGGCCCACATGTTCTTCCAGCCCTCCGTGCGGTCCCGTGGCTTCGTGATGGGCATGTACACCGGGAACGCCCCCGGCAATGTTGCTCGGGAGGCAGATGATCTGCAGAGTCACGGGCGGGAAGTTGGGCGCCTCCACCTGCTTCGGGAGTCCGGACAACCACAAACGGCCACCCTTCGCATTCTGGTAAACGCACGCAGCGCGTTCCTCCGCAAGGGCATCAAACAGCTGGTCCTCCTGGGCCACAGGGAGCACAGCCGCCGGACGCGAAGGCTGTGACGGGGCTTCCGAGTCACCCTCGGGCCAGGCGTCACGCCTCCTCCGCTTCTCACCAGGGCCGCTCGGCTCTGGCGGCCGCTTCTGGGGCACCGCCTTGATCTTGGGCGACAGCATCATCGCTTCGGCACTAGCCGAGCCACTGCTCGCGGCCCCTGACGGCCGGGCCGGGATGGACGCCTCCGGGTCCTCCACCATGACCACCTTCGTCACCCGGCACACGCCCGCTGCATGCTTCCCTCCGCAGGCTCTCCCCGTCAAGCGGACGCATGCACAAAGGTGTGCAAACCCGCACACTCGCTCCCCGGGGCACTGCCCCGCCTGGAACGCCGGGCATAGCCTCTTGCCATCACGCATCACTGCGGTCAGGCGCCGGCCGTTGAGCGAGGTTGCTGGCTTAGCTGCCTCTGCCTTGGCTTTGGCTATCCGCTTAAGCTTCTGCGTCAGGGCGAAGCGCTTCTCAACCTCCTTGGGGCGTGGGGGGGCCGCCCGCACCACCTGGGCGTCCCGCGCCTTGGCTTGGGCTGACGCCGCCTGGCCAGCCTGGGCCGCCTCCTGAACCTCCGCCGGCGGTACCAACTCCCAGGATTCGTGGTGGGTCAGAGCCGCAACCGCTCCCACCATCCTGTGCTTGGCCAACAAGGACGCCGCGTACTTGGCCCCGCTATAGTGCAATGGCATGCGAGCATCCTCCGGGACGTCGCCTTTGGTCTGCCAGTCGCCCAACGCTGCCATGTCGAGGGCGCTAAACCCCACCAGTTGGCCCACCGTTGTACCAACCCGCCTGAACGAGTACGACGAAACCATCGCCGGGTTCTCCACCAAGTCCGCAAACTCGTGCCGGACCATCCGGTAAACATCGGACAGCGACCACGGGACCTCCCGACGGAACGCCAGCCCGCAGTCTGCCTTCTGCTTCTCCGGCACCAGGGCAAAGTCATGGAGCCAGGCCGCCGACCAGTCCCACCCGGTTGACAGCTGTCCGGGCACGCAGAAGTCGAAGCCCTTGCGCAGTCGCCGTTGCTTCCCTTTGATGCAGTGCGCATGGACCGTCGACATGGTTACCTTCCGCACCTCCGCCCGAGTGAGGTGCTTGTGGCGTAGAACTCCTCCATAGAGCATCCATGCCGCCAGCAACGCTTGCCAGCGATCATCGCCCTGCGTGTAGAGCTCCTCCATCCGCTGCTCCATCTTCAGCAGCATCACCGGTTCCACCACGGCTGCCTGCCCCCTGGGCCCTGCCCGACGCGCCTGTCCCGCAGGTGGCGTGAGCATGCTCAACCCCAGATCCACCCTCGCCTGCTTGGTGAGCCAGCGCAGTGATTGGGTAGCACGGGCCGGGGCAGCTGTTCCTTCGTGGAGGAAAACATCAAGGTCGACCACTTCCGGCGGCAGCGGGCGAGAACGCGCCTGCATGAAGGTGATCACCTCACCCCATGTGCGCAAGGCATTCAACACCGTGGCCCTTTCCGCCTCCGTCACCAGCCGCTGTGATCCTCTCCACTCGCGCCGCAGCTGCTCCGTCAGGGCTCCTGTCGGCTTCATCGCCCCCATGTCCATGCAGTGCCTCGCCGAGCCGCTGGACCTGCATCGTGATCGCCTCCGGTTCGTCTTGAACTGCACGAAGGCGTACCGCCGGAGCCCTCGAAGGCCGAGGGGCCAGAGGCCGAAAAGGAAGGTGAACAGCCGTCCCCCGGCTCTCACCCTCCACCACATCAGCCGCAGCCGGCAGCAGCTCGGACTCCTGGGCGCTACGCACCCGCACCCACGAATTGGCCAGGTCCCTGCCGCCAGTAGTCAGCGCCTCCTCAAACGAGTGGAAGGCGAACGCAAAGTCCGCATCATTCTGCAGCCCGTGCTCGCGCCTCCACCTGGCGGTGTGCTGGGCGCCCACCGCACCCAAAGCCGACTCCGGGTCCCACTACCCCCCGGCGTCCCCCGCCAGGCGAGCGTAGATCCCGGTCGGTACAGCTGCCATGGCGCTAAGGATCCCCCAGAGAGACCAAATGGCTGAGGCATTCCTCGCAGATCGGCCTGTCCCGGATGACGTGCCGTGTGAGGGCACCACACCGCACGCAAGGGGGGGGAAAAACACGCTCTCCCGCTGCAAAACCAGCCAGCCACTGGCCCAGAGCCTTCCCGGCCCAAGCAGTGGCCCCATCGCGACTCTCCCAGTCGCCGGAGGGGATCGGCTCATATGCCGGCTCTCGCCAAGAGACCCGGCCTGCCTGCCACCTCCTCCACGCCCAGAAGACGGCCTCCCGATCGAGGCCACACTCCTCAAGGCCGGCCAACTCCACGTAGCCAATGAAGCGCGCCATGTGCTCGGGGACCAGCTGCTGCACTCGCATGCCCGAGTCAACGGCCCGAAGCTGATCCTCATCCAAGTAGTCCCGGCCCGCATAGTAAAGGTCCCAAGCTGCCTCCGGGCCAACCTCCGCTTGAACCAGGACTGCGCGTTTGGTCCATGTCCCGAGCCACGGGAACTGGAACCCCCCACGCATCTCTGTGCACCTAGCACACCCTTCCACCATGCAGGGGACCTCCCGCAACGACCCCAGGGAATGAATGCGAAATTCAGAGGCCTCGGTTGGGGGGAGGTGCACCACCACCACAACAGCCCTCCACAGCCGAACGGCCTGGTCCCGTTCCCCACGGGCCAGCAGTCCTTGCACGTAGGATTCGAAGTCCATGAGGGCCGCCGGGTGCAACATCCGCGCCTGACAATGGGCCACCAAAGGGCCTGCATCGGCGCCAGACATACCGGAGTCCCACTCCAGTCAACAATATAACCGAAACCAAAAAGGTGTCTGCCAATTTGGCTCAGTCTTGATCCAAAATGGCAGACCCATAACAATTGATGATACATGTTCACCCAATGCCTGCCAAGCTCTAAACATGGCATAGCTAGAAGGAGTTGTGGAACTCAATATGTCAATTTCTCGTGGCAACGGTAGCAGCATGTCGGATGTCCTTACGGTAGGATTTCTTGCTCACCACAAACTACAGGGTATAACGTCACGCATGATATATTTGTGCAAACAAGCAAGGATTGAACTTGCATAGGGAGAGTTGCAAACACTGCATGTAATGCACCAGTTGAGTCGCAGGCTATCCAACTGTTCCTTCAAGCTTCAGGGATAGCAGCTTCTGGGCCTGAAGCCAGGTGCTGTTGAAACAGGCTGAAATGACGCGTGCGAAAAACGGTCTGTACATGGCTGCACGCCTCCGAAGCAAACTCCATGGGCAGCTGGTCAAACACGTCCTGTGCGTACGTGTGCAACTCTGGAATGCTTGCCATAGTAGCTGCAAAAGGAATAGACAGTTCAAACTGCAGTGCCTTACTCATTCCCGCCGCCCGTTTGTGGAGTCTGTAAGGATAGCTTCCTAGGTCTGTGCAAGCTGAGAGTGGTGCCAACTGCAGGCTTGCGATGTTGTCAAGGTAAGGTTTTCTAGCGTGGGCCTTCTGCCATCTGTGGTGTCTGGTAAGGCTCTTCTTTGCGGAGTCGTGGGTAAACCAGAAGACATCCTGACCACATCTCTGTCGGAAACGGCATTTTTGGTCCAGGGAGACTGCCAATTAGCTGTCGAGCTGCTCAAGAAAGGCACCCTTACAGCTTGTTTGCCTGCTTCGGTCAAGTTATGATCGACGACTCCGTTTGCCAGCACAGGCTTGGATGAAAGTAAGCTGCTGAGAAAACAAGCCTACCAAAGAGGAGAAGCAACGGGCCATACATGTACCTATAGACTTTTGCATGGACGCTTGCTGTCCTTGTCTTGGACGCTGACTCACCGTACTTCTTTCTGACTTCGCCGTGGTAAGTGAAATGCAACGAGCCGTAGGCTCTAGACTGCCAGGCCAAATTGAGACTGTTCACGCTGAGCAACCGATTCTCAGCAAAGATGGCTGATTGCTTCTCGCTTGCGCCATGATGGCACTGCTGTGCTTGTTTTGTCAGACAGGACTCGTGGATGTGTTGGATGGCGCTGGATATATTCCCATGTTGGCATTTTCTTTCACAGGTTCGCGGCCTTCCAACCCGGTGCTCAGTTTGCCTGGAAAGTTTGAAGCAATGTAACCTGCTGTCGTGCGATCGCAATTTCTTTCTTGCAGCACCTCTAGTGGTTTGATCTCTCTATCGCCTCCGTTGCGACATTGGCTTTCTTTGCTTGCCGAAAGGCGTATCCGTTTTGTTTGGCCTTTGCGGGAAAATGCAATGGAGCGGTTCATTTTGAGACGGCCTTTGACTTGTTTTCTGGGTTGGGGATCAACTTTCCCTGATTCAATTGCCCCCCTGGGATTGCTTGGCTTGTTTGGCTCTCTGCATATCATTGCACTTTGCTTCGGCGGTTTTTGTCTTGCGATATAAAGCGGAAGTCTGACGCTACAAGGACTTTGTGGGCATTCTTGACGGATGCCTCTTCTTGCGTTTCCCTTGGGCAACTTTCAAATTGGGGTCTTGAACGCTTCCAACTCTGCTGGGATCTCCAACCGCTTTTGGCATTGACACATGTGTTGTGGTCAAGCTGTCGAACGATCGAACATCCTTCGCAGTCCGAAATCACACTAGAACTAACTCATCATTACCTTGCTCTGCGATGTCCATAACACTTCGCACGGAGAACAAGGAGAGGGCCCAAGTGAACTCAAATGTGTCCTTAGACAAGCCACTGCAAACAAAGCAGAAGCTTTTGCACCCATGTTGGAGTCCAAAGCGAAAACAATGCTTGCCGCACACAAAGTGACAACCAACAAAGTCGAATCGGTTCCACCCTTTCCAGACTTGCAGTCCTGGCAGAATCCGTTGATGACCAATGACACGGCTTCTTCTGGAGCAAGACCCCGGCTTGTCAAGTAGAGCAGCCTCATTCAAGTGGCATGAGATGGTTACTGCATCGGCCTGCATCCAAGTTGCTGCTCCTCGGAGACTCGTGAGGTCGTGGCCTCAATGAGCACTCCGTAAGCATTCAAAGCAGTGCAAATGACCGGCCTCGTGCTCCACCTGATTATTTCCGTCTGCTGCCTCGATGTAGGGGAATGTGGACGCCTGTGTCGGATTTGGCTTGGTCTTGAGTCTCGACTGGAATCAAGTTCTGTTGCAAGGCTCACAAATGTGCCAAAGCCACGCCTCACCCTGATTTCCTATGAGCAGCGAATCGCATTGCGAAAAGTTCCTGCACCGTATCAGGTGACAGAGCTCAATCAACAATTTCTGTCCTGCCCTTGCTAGCATTCCCACGGAAGGCTACGAGCCCTCTATACCTCCAGCAAGAATACTGATCAAACACGACTTGACCATGTACTGTTTTACCAAGCCAAATATACATGAGATTTCTACTATTGTAACACGGATCCGTTTGAGCCCCCAAACGATCGGCCATTTCAACGACCGCTGAACCCTGGCATACAATGTCGGGGTCACGCATTCTTGGAATGTCCAGCTGAAATGCCCTTCGAAATGATCTTGGACCTCAGCCAATCATTTTGTGCCTCAATTCTTTTGGACTCTGTATGGAATGCGCCTTGTATTTTTGCCCAAGTGAACCATCTTTGTACCCGTATCTGCCTGCGATGGGCGCACAAAGTGCTAGGTGCGATCAGCTGATTCAGACTTCAATAGATGCGTATTGTTTTACTGGCAAGGCACATACAAGCTCTCTCTCTCTCTCTCTCTAACTCTCGCTCTTCATGCACACCCACACACTTACACACACACACACACTCTTCGTACATCTGAATTCTCCGAACGGGGTGACACTGGGTCATGCCAATCCACATGACCGTTCAAAATGAGTTGCTTGCAGCTCCACTTAGCTTGGAAGCCTAATGGCTGTTCCGCCAGTGAAACGTTCGCATAATGATTTGAGCCACAGTCAGTCTCATCGCGCCCTCCTATTGATGGAACCTTTAAAGTTTCATCTCTTTGCAACCGTAGCTGACAGAAATTACTGACTGTTTCTCAGTGGAGAAAAGCCAAGTGCCCAGTGACCCCGGAATTCAGGTCACGCTGCCTTGCTATTGCAAGAGCAGGACGGCTCTTTCATTATCAGTGAATCGCCTCACATTTCAAGGTCTGTCTCTAAGTCGAAATCCTGCAAGAGCTTTTGGCTGGCTGCTGAGCCCCTGCATCTTCCGTAATCAGCCCAAACCATGTTGGCAAACCATGTTGGCAAACCATGGTGGCAAATGTCAATGTTGCGCATGCAGCAAACCATTGCCTCTGGAAGTGTTGGCAGTCGCGCGCTGGGCTGTGACATATGAGGATCGCCCTGCGCGTCTCCAAGCACTGCTTGCCCCAAAGGGGCAAACGGCCATGAACTGTCGCCTGGTCACATTCTGCGGAAACGTTGCATACATCCCAGGACTGTCCTGGTATGTCGAAGCGGCAGACAGGTGCATAAGAGTGCACAAGCATCATAAGTTGAATCATGCCCATTCCGCCTTCCCCTTGAGCAAGGCCCTCAGGCTCCGGCCTCTCGCACTAGGCACACACACACACATACACATACACGTATGTCGCATACATTGTTTACGAATGTACTTAAAGCAACACTGGCACAGCATCGCCTCTTGCACTCAGCAAGCAATGCGTCACATTCTGCAGCCAAAATCGACCAATCTTTTCCGCGAATCGTGACCTTGCATGGCAAACACATGACTACAGAACAAAAGAAATTGCGTGCTTACTGCACACTGCAAAACGGCTCAGTTGCTCGCTTCTGCCTTTTGCTCTGCTTGAGGTACCTGCCAGCTTGGCTCAGACAGCAGCAACAAGTGCGAAGTTCCGAATATCAATCCGCTGCCTCATCTGGCAGGTCCCAGGATGCTTGTGGCTCCTCTTCAGCTGGCAACTCGCCATCGTTGCATGGCTCATCCTCTGCCAGGCTTGACTCTTCTGACCGTTCCTCAGTTCAGTTGCTTCTGGAGAGCAAACTCATCGGGCCGACAAAGCCTGGAAGCCATCTGCCTGAAATGGAAACATGTCTACAGGAACCATTCCTGCCTCGTCCCTATCCTCGCTCTTCACAGCTTTGGGATCCTTGCTTGACAAACTTCACGGGCTCTGATGACAAAGGAATGCGTCCCGGCCTCCCTTGCCCCAATCTGCCCCAAGAAGTCGCCCTTTTCATGGCTTGATGGAATGCCTCTCATGTGCACAAGCCTCAAACCTAAGTAGCCGACGCATTGGTTCCATGCAACAGGGCCTGAGGATCGCCTGGACGCATCGGATTCATCCCACTGGAGGTTGGCCATCAGCACCTCGCCCGGTGACGCTTGGGGCAAAAGAATGCACTTTCAAACTCGGGCTAGATGAAACATGTGAGTTGCGCTCACATATAGTGGGGAACCCTTTTTTCTCACCCTCCAAACCTTTTTTTTCAACCCTTCCCTGTTTTTTCAACCCTTCACCCTTTCAATTTAACCCTCCCTCCGTCTTTTTTAACCCTCCCCCCTTCTTTTTTAACCCTCCCCCCTTTTTTTCTGACCCTACCTCTTCCTTTCAACCCTCCATTTCTTTTTTGCCAACCCTGTGGCCGACGCCTGCGGCAACTGCACTAAGCAACGGTTTAGGGTTGGGTTGGTTTCGGAGTGGTTTTGGATTTAGGGTTGGTTTAGGGTGGTGGGTTTAGGGTTGGTTTCGGATGGGAAGGGTTTAGGGTTTAGGGTTTAGGGTTTAGGGTTAGGGTCGGTTTTGTGTTGGTTTAGGTTGAGCGACCTCAGATTTAAGGCTAGTTTGGCGCAGGATTTGGTTTGTGTAGGAAGGGTTTAGAGGCGGGGTAGGGTTTGTTGAGGGTGGGTTTAGGGTTGGTTTGGGATGGAAAGGGCAAATTTGTGGTCGGTTTAAGTTTAAGGTTGGTTTCGAGCAGGTCTGTGATGGGTATATGGTGGGTTCAAAGTTGGATGAGGGTGGGTTTTTGGCTTGGAGAATGGGTCTACAGTGGATTTATGATTGGTTTAGGATGGATTTAGGGTTGGCTACGGGTGGGTTTAGAATGGGTTTAGGGTGACGTCAGGGTTGGGATAAAGGTTGGATTTACATGGTGTTAGTTTAGGGTGGGGTTTGGGCTTGTGTCGAAAGGCTTCAGGGTGGATTTGGGTGGATTTAGTGTTGGCTTAGAATCTGTTTGAGGTGGGTTTGGGGTCGGCTGTGTAGGGTTGGATTAGGTTGACTTTGGGTTTGTGTTTGGTTTAGGTGGTCTAGAGTAGGTCTGTGGTGGCTGTAGGGTTAGCTTAGGGTTGGTGTAGGGTTGGTTCAGGGCGGGTTTGCGGTGTGTCTATGTCTAGGGTGGCGTTGGGGTTGCGTTAGGGGAGGCTTGGGGTCGCTCAAGGGTGGCTTAGGGTTGATTTGGGGTGGCTTGATTTCAGGTGGGCTTAGGGTTTTTAAGGGTATGTTGTTCGTTTGTTTTGGGTTGGGGTGGATGTAGGTTGGTTCAGGGTTGGTCTGGGATGGTTTAGGGTGGGGTTTGCGGTTGGTTTGCTTGGATGTGGATTGGTTTTGCGGTTGGCCTAGGGTTGGCTTCACTGGATTTAGGGTTGGGTCAAGCTCAGCTTAGAGTCTCAGGGTGCGCTTAAAGTTGGATCAAGGTGGATTCATGGTTGGTACAGGGTGGGCTTATGGTTGGTTTAAGTGTAGGGCTGGCCCAGGTTGGTTTTTGAGTTTAGTGTGGGTTGCTTTTGGGTGAGTTTTGGGTGGGGGCAAGGTTGGTCTAGGGTTGGTTTTTGCTGGGCTTGACTTTAAGGTTGGTTTTCGGGGTGGTTTGGGATTGGTTAAAGCTGGGTTTAGAGTGAGTTTAGGATTGGCTTAGGGTCGTTTTAGGGTTGTTTAGGGTGGGTCAAGGTTCGAGCGGGTTTAGAGTTCGTGTAGGGTGGGTTTAGGGTGGGTTCAGGACTGGCTTGTTGGTTTAGGGTTGGTTTGGTTTGTTGATTTAGGGTTGGTTTAGGGTCGGTTTGGGATTGGTTACGGGTGGGTTATGTATGCTTTAGGGTGGTTTCGAGTGGGTCAGTGGTTGGGGTGGGTTTGGGCGTGTTTGGCTGGTTTGAGATTGAATTAGAGTTTGGCTGGTTTGAGGGTTGGCAAGGTTTGGCTTAGGGCGGGCCTAGGGTTGGTTTGGGTTGGGTTGGGTGCGGGGCGGGCTTGGGTTGTTTTAGGTTTAGGGTGAGAAAAACAAGGTTGCGGGGTGAAACAAGCAAGCTCGCGGGTGAAAAAAACAAGGCGGAGGGTGAAAAAAACAAGGCGGAGGGTGAAAAAAACAAGGCAGAGGGTGAAAAAAGCAAGGTGAGGGGTTGAAAAGAAAGGATTTCTCAGGGTTGGAGAAACAAGGTTCCCGCAGACGGTTCCCAAGCAGGGTTTGAGGGTTGAAAAAAAAAGGAAGGGTTAAAAAAACAACTTCGGAGGGTGAAAAAAAAAGGGAGCCCACATATAGTTCTCATGCAAAATTGCCAGCCTCCGTTGTTGCTCTGCAACCCTGAAAGGTTGCTTTGGAGTCAGCAGAGGCAGCTGCCTCTCAGTTGGTTTTGGAGCTCCAACCGCCTGCTGTTGGCACATATTGGCACTCAAGCCTGCCTCGAACTCCATCATCCAGGAGGAGGACAGGTTCACGTCTGCGAATGCCGTGCGGCAGCAACAAGCCAGGTTTGACAAGTGCCACAACGCACTCAACCACCGAATTCGCCAGGCCTACATCTTGGCTCATTTGAAGGTCCGCTGTAGCAGCCTTCATTGGAGAGTCTCCCTCATCAACAGTCAGCATCTCACTCCAACCGCGAAGAGTCAGTTCAGCCCCCAACCCCACTTTCCTACACGCGGGCTCCCTAGCCTAGCACTCTTGTAAAACAAACATCATACTAGCATGAGGCCTACCAACGCGCCTCAGTCAAGCCCGCAGTAAGCCTGAGGCATTGCGATTCAGAATCGGAGTGCATTGTTCTTTCTTGTTTGCACTTTCTGAATCCTCTCCACACTTGAGTTGCTGGCTGTGCCTTGAGAGATGCTTGCGCAGCCCCTGAGCTATGCGTTTCGCAGGTTTACACGAGGAAGCTTTGCGTCTATCAGAGAATCGCACCTTTGAAGAAACTTTCGACCTGACTCTCCTGAGCTGCGTTTGTAGCGACATCCTCTCACTGATATGTCCCCGATGGATCCATGCCCCAAATCTTAGTGCTCCACTCTACGCTCCTTCCTGTTCTCTGTTTCGTCAGATGATCCTTCACTTTCAGACAGCTCCTCGGCCGTTCTTGCTTCGGGGAGCTCCTCTGAACGAATTTGCTCTATGTGAGCCTTCTCAAAGGGCATCTCTTGTGCAGGCACTTCCTCGATAGGCACTTCCTCTGCAGGGGCTTCCTCTGCAGGAGCTTCCTCCGCAGGAGCTTCCTCCGCAGGAGCTTCCTCTGCAGGAACTTCCTCTGCAGGAACTTCCTCTGCTGGAACTTCCTTTGCTGGAATGTCTTCTTTTGCAAGAACCTCATCTGCAGGCACTCTCTCTTCTGCAGGTACTTCCGCTTCTGCAAAATCTTCCTCTGCTGCAGGAACTTCCGCTTCTGCAAGAA